CCTGAGACTCGTGAAACTCACTCAATAATAATTGTGAATAGGGCTGGGCGGGGGGAGGCAAAGAGCCCCCACATGCCTGCGCGGCTCACTGGGGAGCCCAGGGTGGCTGCTCCTCTGGGCTTACCGTCCGGCAAGCAGGCATTTTCAGGAGAGCTGGACATCACCTTTCACACGGTCCCTGACTGGTTTGGATGCACAGATCGACGGGCCTGTGTCCCCAGATGTGACCAGCGAACGGGGAGGGCCCACGTGAGGTGAGAGAATGCACAACCAGACTCCTCATGAGTCTTTGCTCCAGCAGGAAGGACTGATTGACTCTGGTCGGGGTCTCATTGCTGTGGGACCAGATCCCCTGCCAGGGAGCAGGTGCCCAAGGACACACCTGGATGATGTCATAGCTTCCAGAGGCAGGACGGGGGTGGACTCTGCTCCCTCACGCCTGTGTCCACAGCCCTGTGCAGATGGCAACACACCCCTCACACCCATCTCCCCAGGACCTGCGTCCAGCACCTGAGGGCGGGTGGGCCCAGATTGCCATGCCCATTTGACAGATGGGGAAACTGGGTCCCAAAGGACAAGCAAGATAGAGCTGGGACTCGAACGCAGGCCTGCAGATGCAGGGGCAGGTGCGGGGTTGTTTATAGTCTACACCACAGCTGCCCCCAAAGAGGGTCCACCACGAGGCCACCCAGTGCCCGCCACATGCACGCACAAAGCACAGGGGGCTTCCCAGCCCTGGCCCGCCGAGTGGGGTGCACCCGAGGCCTCCTGCAGGCAGGCTGGCTGCTGCAGTGAGCAGCCCCCAAGTCTCAAGGCTTAGAGCTCGCTCTCTCTCAGGTCAGGCCGCCTTCTGCACGCTGACTCAGGGCTCCAAACCGCAGGGTCTTGGGATCCTCCTTTTGAAAGGTCCATCTTGCAGAAAGCTGGGCGAAGCGCCGGGCTTCATTGTGAGCTGGCCGCCTGCGGTTAATTCTCTCGATACAATGCGCCTCCGTTGTGAATCGGCCTCTCGGACAGATTGCTGGTCAGCCCCTCGCCCAAGGAACCGGCTTCTGCTGGGCCTCCCAGCCCTCGCCCCCCGCCTGCCCTCGCCCCGCGGGGCCCGGGCACCAGCCAGCGCTCAGAAGCCCCCCAAAACTCACAGCACAGGGGGCCCTTGTCTCTGCGAGGAGAGCTGCAGCCCCATTGGAGGAACTGTTGGCCTCTGAGCAGGTGATTCAGGAGCCTCCTGCCCCCCCCCCCCGCCATGGGCTCGCTGAGGCCAGTCAGGCTCTGTGATGGGGAGGGGAGTGAGAAGAAATACAGTGACCCCAACGTTCTGCCGGAGTCCTCCCCTAAACTCTCAAAAAGTCCCTGCAGTTCCCGACAGCATCGTCCGGTATCCCCCTGGCACCTGCACCAACGCAAAAATACTGCCGGCTGATTTCGGGTTTGGAAAGCTTTCGATAAGCATGCTTCGTGCAGCGTCTTTGCTGTGTTCGGACGGGGGCGCGTTTGCCTTGGGGGGACCCGGAAACCCCAGGACGAGGGGTACAGCTTCCCAGAACGTTCATTCTCCTCCGACTCTTCTTTGGAGGGAGAGCTAGGTCATTTAATTGGGAAGCAATTTCAAATGTTTTACCCTGAATGGCTGGAGAGGAGTACTAACGGCACACGTTTTAAAGAGAAGACATGCGGTTTTAAAGACGCTTCTGTGTTGCAGCAGCTGCTTTGTACTCTGCTCTCAGACCCCCAGGGGGACAGGCTTGTCCCCTCTGCCACTCAAGGATTCAGGACAGAACTGTTAACTCTGGCCACCTGCATCCGTCAGGTCCCGCACCAGTGCCGTCCTGTGCTCTCTGAGCGTCACCTCCCCAAACCCGGCCCCTGGCAGCCACCACCTACTCGGCTTCCTCAAGTAGGACTTTTTAGATTCCCCATGTAAGTGAGATTGTGTGGAGTCTGTCCTTCGGGGTCTGGCTCAGTTGGCTCAGCACCGCGTCCTCCAGGCCCACCCAGGGTGCCACCCAGCTTGTCAGAGGCACGGATGGCCGCCAAGGTTACTAAGGCTCAAGGTTACTACGGTGACCTTGAGCCCTGAGCCAGCCCGGGAGCAGAGGATGCTGGCATGTGCGTACCGAGCCCTTGGCTCCCACCTCCCGATGACCGGGGAGATGGTGTTGTCAACCCAGGTAGCCGGCCAGCAAACGGGGGCTCTGCCGGGTGACCTGGCTTGCTCAAGATCGTGTCCACACTGAGTGGCAGGGCTGGAACTCAAACCCGGGTCCGCCTAAGGAAGAGCCAATGCCCTTTGAGATCCACCAGCCTCTGGGCCACATTAGCAGGATGTCAGCAGGGGGGTCCTGCCAATAGCACCCATGCCTCATGGCCGGCCGCCCGTCCTTGACCTTGATGGAATGTCTTTCAGACACTGCTGTGTCTGTGTTTGCTTGGAGCATGGCTTTTTATACCAGAGGGTCAATCCACACAGCCCTGGGGCCATCAGCCATCCTTAACCGCTTTTAGACCGAGAAGAAGGTTCCAGAAGACAAACACCATGCAGGTGGTCGGGGCCCTACTCCAAATGCAAATTTCATTTTCGGGTGTGATGTCTTAGTTACCGGAAAGCAGAGACTATTCTGCCCGTGACCATTGTAATTCTGCCAGTGAGCGATCTGGGCACAGAGTAGGAGAAGCGGTCCCGCAACTTGGTGGTTTAAAAGAACAGCAATTTATCAGCTCGTGAATTCATGCCCCAACCGCAGGCTGGGCCCGCCGGGTGGTTGTTCTGCTGGGCTCGGCCGGGGTCACTCCCCATCTGCAGCCAGCTGGTGGTTGGGGGCCCACAACCACGCTGGGCAGCTGGTTGTGGACTGGCTGAAGGTCAGCGGGAGTTAACGGGGTCACCAGGCTCTGTGTCTCCAACCAGCCCAGGCGTGCCCATTGTCTGTACGGCGGCGGCAGCATCTCCGCCATACAGAGCAAGCTGACAAGTGCTTTTTGAGGCCTGGCTTGTGTCATACTTGCCATCATCCCAGGCTCGTCACAGGATCAACCGATATTCCAGGGTTGGAGAAGTGGACTCTGCCTCCTGGGGGAGGGGCAGAATGTGCGACCCCCGCCACAGTGGGTGTTCACAGGCATTTTCTGGGGTGCTTTCTCGTCCTGGGCGTTACCCACCGGCGGCTGCACACATCCTCATGGCCATAATGGTCATGGTTCATTTTGTGGGGTTTCTCTCCCATAGACAGTGGCTAAGACTCCTCCCCCCTCCCCCCGCAGCAGGAATTATGGCAGGTGTTTCTGCTTCCCCAGCTCCTAGCACAGGGCCTGGTGAATGCTTATTTTGTGCATATTTATTAAACATGTCATTGAATGTGTTGAATTGAATTGGATATGAAATGGCTGCAGGTGAGTGCGTTAATTAGACCTAGGATCTGAAACTCCAGATGGGCAGAATACAAATGAGTAGAGCTTCTTAGAAGCATTTCCCCAAACCTCTCCAGACACCTGCCTTGCACCAGCAGAGCTTCCGGCGGATCACCAGTGGGCGAGGCTTCCAGCCTTTCTCGGGTCATAGCCCCACTGAGAAGCTGGTGAACATGATAGCCCTTCTCTCAGAAGGGGCGCCCCTGCCTTCCCTCTGTTGGGGCTCAGTTGCGGAGAACAGGGTCCACGCCAGCTGGTTAAAATAGGAAGGAATTACCAGGGGTTAGTACAAGACAAAGGGAGCATTACTAAGGCTGAGGAAATGGATTCTGAGCTGCAAATTCGGGAACAAGTTTGAAAGCAAAACTGAGCCAACAAAGCTCTTCGTCTTTGCTAAGGGGATGTCGCCTGCTCAGCTGGGAAGCTGCCGCTATATTCTCGGGCTCCAGAGCCAGGCCCCCACTGCTACCATCAGAAAGTCTGGAGACTGCTCCCAGAAGCCACCCGCTCAGGTGCTTGCCTGTAAGAACTTCAGCGGCTAGAGCCCCTGCCTTAGATGCACTTCCAATTAGATGCAAGTGTATCCGTTACTAGCACTTGAATCACAACCTGCCCACTTGTTGCAAGGCCTTCTGGGACATGCAGACGAGGAAGACACCAGAGAACGTTAGAACAGGCCCCCTGACCTCCACTCCCACCTGCCTCTTTCTCCACTTTCCAAACAGCCTCCGCTCCCCGAGGATCTGGCAGATAAACCCCAAGTCAACAACTTTGGGGTCCAATAGTTGTCATGAGCAAAAATCAGTGTGAAATCCTTCCTTAGAACAAAGCAGGCCATATGGTGAGGGTATGGTAGCCGGGTCTGAATTTCTGAATTTGGTAGTGCACTGGACAGAGTGGAGCTCAGGGTTATACTTTTTTGTGTTTGGAGAAACCAGTTCTGGTTACCCGTCTTTCCAGAGTGCCGCCTTCCAGACGCCCAGCCTCCTGCTCACAGCCGACTGGAACAGATGTGAGCTCTTGTCTAAATTTACCCGGAAGGAGGGAGGAAGGAGGACTGTGGCCCATTTTCAGACAATGTGCAGGTGAGAATCATCAGGGCACAGACACGGGGCTTTTGCAAATGGGGACCCACTAAGGCTTGAGCTGGCCAGGGACAGAGATCCTCTGATGGGCTCAAACAGGCATGCAACACACTCTGGAGGGGTCCTGATCTGGGCAGGTTTGGGGAGGGGCAGTACTTGACCTTTCTACCCCCAATCTGAGCACCTTAAATACACTTTTAGTCAACTTATTAAGTCCATCTGTTGACTAAATATAACAATATTTATTTGAGAGAGAGAGAGACGTGTTGTCCCAGGACTGATGAGCAGAGGGAAACCCAGAGCTGACCTGCCCGAGCTGAGCCAGGACTTCAAGCTTCCTCTTCTCCATTACTCCATCCTCCTTCAGAAAGAAGGTTGTTTGTTTGAAAGAAGGAAAAGCCAGTGATGTCTCAGCTGCGTTACACAGACTTTTTCATTAAATTTCAGGCTTCCGTCGCTCTAGAGGACCCCAAAAAGGTTTCCATGCGCCTGAGATTGTGACCTCACCCGACGTGCTGGCCCCCTGCACCCTGTGCCCCACCGCGAGCTCGGGCCAGACCGGTGCTCCACCCCCCTCCTCTCTCCGGACCACCGAGCCGCTGGCCAGCCCATCCCTGCAGCTGGCGGGGAGCAAACGGGAAGGCTTCAATAAAACTTGTCAAGTCAGCTTGACCACTATATGGCATGGTTTTTATTTTTAAATTATCTGTTTTCCTCATAAGGTATGCCCCTTCCTTCAAGGGCTGCTTCCGCAAATCCAGCATCTTCTATAAGGGAGCAGCCTTGTGATGGGGAAGCCTTGTTGTATGCCGACTTTGGCCAGAGTCAGAGGACGCCTTGACCATCACCTGGGTTTGGCTTATTTTGGAGACCAGGATCTTCCCTAAGATCTCTTCAGCGTCACGCGGTGTCACGCTCTGTTTAAGAATGACCAGCCCTGAGCAAAGACTTTAACAGATGAAACATGAAGAGATGACAGTGTTGTCCTTGTTTTAAAGTAGTGAAAACCATTTACTTATCAGTTTCCACCGCTAAGCTTCCTTCTCCCCACGTCTGAGAAACTTGAGGATGACACAGCCCTGAGCATGCTGCAGCTCCATAAAGCCATGCACAGAACTCCTCTGAACCTCAGAACATTTTCTGCATTTCTCATAAAACCACAGCACCTGGCTCGCTATAACTCTTGGTAAATATTTGGTGATAACAACAGTAATGACAACAGTTGACATTTATTGAGCACCAATTACCCCAAAGGTGATTTTCTAAGCCCCATATTTTCCCCATTTTGCAGATGAAGAAACTGTGCCGTATCGGAAGTTAAGTTAAGCTCAAGGTCACAGAGCCTATTTGAAACAGACTTTAGATACACACGGTTTGACTGCAAACCTGTGCACTTATGCAGCATGACCTTAGTATTTAGTGGATGAGTGAAGAATGGAAGAATAAATAGGTGGATGGTAGATGGATGGATGGTTGGTTGGAGGGAGGGTTGGATAGATGGATGGAAGGAAGGGTGGATGGATGGATGGATGGATGATGGGTGGATGGATGGATGGATGGATGGTTGGATGGATGGATGGATGAGTGGCTGGCTGGATGGGTGGGTGGACAGATGGATGATGATGAACAGGTGGATGGATGAAAATAAAAAGTAGAAAGCAGTACCCTTGTATCATCTCTAGACTGACCTCTCTATTCCTGAGCAGCCAGCACTGAAGTGCACAGACACGGGCTGGGCTGGGGCCAGCGACTCAACCAGAGCTGCAGTGGCCTCCTGCATCAGCTGGGGAGAGGTGCTAAACTTGAACCTGCAATTGGGCCAGGAAGCCCTGGAAGTAGCAGAATGGCTCCCATTGAGATTTCCTACCACCCTCCCTCATTGCTGCTGCCCAGGCAGGAGCATCAGAAGACCTGAAGTCAAGATGACCTCCTGGGGAATGACTGCCCTAGGGTCTGAGCTGCCTGTAGCGTGTCATACCTCGGGCTGAGACTGAAAACCCAGCTGAGGGTGAGGACTGATTCTCCAGGAACAGGAAAGTCATCTGGAAGCTGAATTTATAATTACCCCAATCTCTTAACTGGCTTTTAACAAAGCAATTTTCAGCATCCAATTAAGTCGTAATGGACTATTAGGATCACTAATTGTTGTGTATTTAATAGAAACTTACGCTCGAGTAGCTATTATAAATCACTTGCTGGATGCCGATAGTTACACTGCTCTGGAGAACCCAGGCAAGCCAGATTTCTGGGTACATGTGTGTGGAGTTCATTATTGAGGACTCTTGACTCATTGGGATATAAATATGGATAATTTTCCCAGTAATTCCTTCTGACTATGCTGTCAGACCCTGTCTCACCGCTGCTCTTTCCCATCAAACAGCACATAATCTGGGTTAAGAGCTCACCCTGATTCTACTGCTGTTTAGATACTTCTGGTTGCTGAGGAGAAGATACCAGTCAACTGCCTGGGATTGAATCTTAGCAGTGTGACCTCAGGTGCTTCCGTGTGCATCCTCTAAATAGGGATCATTGTAGCTCCTCCTTCTCCCATGATTGCAGTGCAGACCAAGGGAGGTAACATGTAGAGGGCGGGCATAGAGCAAGTTATGCTTTTATTAGGGCTGAGGCAGCCTCATTATTTTTTCTGCAACTTGATCCTGTTAGTTTTAACCTGTTAATGTCCTATTTGATTCAGGCCTTTCTCCCTTAGTACCCCTCTCCCACTGTTTTAGCCATGAGTTTTGCTCAGGCAAAGTAAGAAATGGATAAATGGGTGTTTGGATGGGTGGGTGAGTGCAGAGAAGAGGAGATGGTTGCAACAATGGTTGGATGATGGATGGGTGAATAGGTGGATGAATGGATGGGTGGGTGGTTGGATGGATGGATGGATGGATGGATGGATGGGTGGATGGATGGGTAGGTAGATGGATGGGTAGATGGGTGAGTGGATGGATGGATGGATGGGTGAGTGGATGGATGGATGGCAGATGGATGGGTGGGTGGATGGGTGCGTGGGTGGGTGAATAAATGTCATATTTGATTCAAGGTCTTTCTCCCTCTATGTCTCCCTCCCACTGCTCCAGCCCTGATTTCTGCCAGGGGAGTAGCTGCATGAGGAGAGTGGAAGGGTCTGTTTACATCGTGCCCCACCCTCCTGGCTGCACTGGGTACTCCCGTGTGCATGGGGTGGAGGGAGGGAGAAGAGACGGCTCCTTACCTGACTGTCCGGGATGAGGACACCATCCCGTCCTCAGTCAGTGTCGCTGCTGTGGTCTATGGCTGTGGTCTGGCTGTGGGCACTTCCTGTGTGACTTCTATGAGCTCCCACCCCTACCCTTAAGGGATCCCTGCCACGCAGCTCCTCTGGGAAAGGAGGTCCCTAGTGAGACTCCACATTCCATCACCTCTCATTCCTGGCTCTGAGGGGCTCCCTGACCCACACCTTACTTTGTGGTCCCCAGGAAGTCTGAGCTTCCATCTCATCCAGCCTCTGAGCCCATGTGGGCCCCCAGGCTCAGGCACGCCCTGTCACCTGTACCACTCAGGGCACCGAGGATAGTCCATGCCTGACAGCCCTGGACACACAGCAGGAGGCGGCTGAGTGACACCCAACTGGAAGACAACATGCCCGTCTGCCTTCCAGACACGTCCAGACCATGTGTGAGTTCTGGGTGCCAGGGTTCCTGGCTTCAGGGAGGAGAAGTGCCCCCAGCTCATGGGGGCAATGGCTGGGGCAGGGGACGGTGGGGTGGGTGTGCAGGTGGCCTTAGACTTTCCCCAAACCCCGCCCCCAGGTGGTGGCCCAGCAGCCTGGGATCTTCCAAGCCCAGAGACCTTGGCTTCTTTCCTTCTCAGCTGCCCCTGTTCAGCTGGAAGCCCCTAATGCCATTCTGTGGAATGTGTAGGCGCCAATGTCTGGACACCGCTTCTGGAACAAAATCCTCCACTGCCCTGCTGAACCTCCTGGAAGATTCTGGTAGTGCCCTCTTGAACTATGCTGGGAGGAAATGGCATGGACGGTCTCTCCTGGGGGCGGGGCTGGGAACTTCTCGAGAAGGGCCTCCGGGGCTCCACAGACAACTTAACGCTCTCCACACCTCCCCATTATTCCCATTTGCACGTTCTGTCCTGAGAAAGCAAGCTCCAAGCAGGCTTTGGGGACGTGCTTGGAGGCTGTAAGCCGAGAACAGCCCAGGAAGCTTGACCAAGGGGGAGATCCCCATGTGGAGAAGACCAGAATCGGAGACAGACAAGCAGACAGACACCAGCCCTCCTTGGAGATCCCTGTCCCCAGCCCCAGGGCATTGGTCCTTTCTGCCACGCGCAGGCCTGGCCGCCTGGCTGCCCAGGAAAAGGCTGGTTCCAGCGACCCTGCCCCTCCTTGGATTCTGGTAGCACTCTATTCTTAGTTTAAACCCCCCTCGGCTCGTGCTTCCCCAGGAGGACTTTCCACCACTCAGGTGAGACGTGGTGCCTTTACAGGACATGTTGGTAGTGATTTGTTTCTCTCTCGCCACATGGCACACGGGGTGGGAATATGCTAACCTCTCTGAGCCTCAACCCAGCATCCCCTGCACCCCAGAGCCTCTCTGAGACATCCACTCACTGACTTCTGGGGAGGCAGGGACAATGCTTTTTCATCTCTTCATGCTGAGCATCCAGCGTGGCACCTGCTACAAGTCAGTGCTTGCAGACTTTTGCCAGAAGATTGGGAGAGCAGATGTAGGAAAGGGACCTGGGGAGCAGAGAATGTTCCTTCCATCCAAGCCCGGTGCTTGTTCTGACGGCTGAGATGTGGGTAGAGACAGCCGTGCCACAGCTGTGAACAGCTGGCTGGAGGCACTCTCAGCCCAGCTGGTTCCGACCCTGGGGAGCTGGCACAGAATTGCAGTGCTGACGGTGAAGATGTTGAAACCTGGAGTGCTCCCAGGGGCCTCAGACCGAGCCCTTCCTCAGCAAAACCTTGCAAAACCTGCTAGTTGTGTGACACCCCCTTTCACAGATGGCAGAACAGAGACTTGAAGAGGGGACATGAGCTGTTCTAGGTCTCCCAACTAGATTGTGCCTGAGTTGGGACTCCAACGTAGGTCCTCCTGATTTGACCCTGCCCGCCCCACAAATCCTTGTGGAATGGGGCTTTTTGCAGGAATGAGAGAATGAATGAATGAAACCAATCCTCAGGAGCATACAGGCTCTAAAGCTGGGTATTTGGAGAAGAACATCTGAGACTAAGTCCCAGTGCAAAATAAGAATTCAAATATAGACAAGGAAAAGGTTAAAGTGTCCCCCACAAGTCATGAGATTGTGTCCCAGACCTTGTCTGCCTTAAAGAATCATCTTTAATTACAAACTAGATTAAATAAAAGTTAGATTTACTGGCTTTTCAACAAATGAGTCCTCATATGGAGTTCGGGTTCAGCGGGTTCGAGCAGTTGGATGAGGCTGGAAATTTCCTGCAGCTTCTTGTCTTCCGGCACCAGCTTTGCAGATAGGAGTTCTGATGCAGTTGGACTTCTTTCTTTTAGAGTACAGTTGCCAGATTTAGCAAATAAAAACACATGCCATGTTTGGAATATGCTTATTCTAAGAGTTGTTTGCTGTATTTCTGAAATTCAAATTTAACTGGCATTCTGGATTTTTCCTGGTAGCCCTACTTTAGAGTTTACCTGTTTGCTGTTGTTGTCTCTCACTGCGTCTAGAATTTATTCACCACCTTCGATGCTCAGAAATGTCATCAGATGGCATCCGTGTGTGGGACTCTCCCAAGGCTCCGTCCACACGGAAACTTTGTCCTCGGTGGGGGAGCTGCTCCTCCACCGTTTGCGGTCCTTCCTCTCCCATGTTGATCACCCCCGCACCCCTACAAGGTTTATCCACAGATTTGAACTCCCCATCATCGTCTAAATGACCTTCACCAGGTTAATCAGCCTCTCTTAGCTTCAGTTCCTGAATCATGAAATTGGCTTTCATAAACCAATCTAAGAGCCGGGCGCATGAAGATTAAAGCCGCTGAAGGACACCAAGCCCCTCGCATCCTGTGTGCCCTGGCGGCCGCCCTAAGGGTGCCCTCCTGAACCAGAGCATCTGCGCTGTCCTTCCCTGTGGGATGGCACTTCCCAGGCCCTGAGCTGGTTTGGGGTCATATGACTCGTTCTGCCCAATTAACTGAGCAGATGTGCCCTGTGTCCCTGTCTGGCTGGAGCGTTTTACGGCCCACGAAAGACCCACCAGGGCACTCTTATGCTGACCCACAGTAAATGACAATGTTCCAGACAGTGTCCGCTCTGTCGGCCAGATTCTGGAGTGAGGATGATGCAGGAGAGAGCCCCACAGGCCTTCAATGGACATGCGGCATGGGTAGGAAACAGACCTTGGTTTATGGCCCTGAGCCTGGGGGATGCTCATCACTGCCACACACTTAGCCATGCTGACCGGTCCCCGGGGGTCCACAGAAGTCCCCTCCCCTTCAGCACCCTATGTTAACGAAGTGAGTGCCCTGTGAGCAGTTCCCAAGATGTTGCAAGCCTTGGCCAGGCAGAGAGCACCTGTCCTTTATTGATCACTTTTACGCAAGTCTGGGGAGGAAAGGTCCTTCTTCACGTTCGAGTTGGTTCTGAGCTCTGAGCAATCCAGCCAAGCTGGGGCTCAGCCTGGAGTTGGCGTTGATGGGATCCACAAAGCCACAAATCAGAGGGCTCTCCTACTGACGATAGAGGCACCGATGTCCTTATACTCCTTGCTGGCGACTCACATGTCCTTGAAGGTGGAGAGCGAGCACAGGATGGAGCCGCCCAGCCAGGCGTTGTATATGGGAGAGGGGCAGGTGGACACCTGGGGGGGTGGAGGAGGCAGAGGGAGGGGAGAGCAGAAGAGGGAGGCCGGGGGGGGGGTGAGGGGGGGGGGGGGGGGGGGGGGGGGGGGGGGGGGGGGGGTGAGGGAGGTGTGGAGGGGTCGGGGGAAAGAGGGGAAGAAGCCAGAATCAAAATACTACTCTAAATTTGGGACATACAATAGCAGTCCCTGAGCAAACCCTGTGGTTTGCTCATTTCTTTCCTCTGGGCAAATGCAGGTTATTCCCAACATTGAGGATGCTTGTCTGTAGCTTTAAACAACAGGGTGAAAGAGGCGAGAGCAGAAAGGACGCCCCCTTGGCCCTTAGGCTCACTCCAAAACACAGGACACATCTTCAAGTTATCCAAAGTCTATGTGGAAGGCATATGGGTTTTGTAGAAAAATTAGAAAATACAGAGGAGCACAACAAAAACCACAGGCAATCAAACAACCTGGGCAAATCCCTGTCATTTCCCACTCAAGCTCAGCACTCACTGACATCTGCCACGTGAACATTCACCTTCGATTCTGGGAGAGAGCAGTGCTTCGGACCCAAGTCCGGACCCCTCTGCGCTGGGAGGAGCCAAACATCACCACGCCCATTGCCAGGTGCGACCACTGCGGCTCAAGGTTCAATGCACTTGCTCAAGGACAGGCAGTTGCCATCCTCACACGTTCTCATACTTTCCTGAAGGCATGTAGAGACACCAAGCTAGGACAGCCTTATTGTTCTAAAACAGCAAGGCAAACATGTGGCTGCAGAGTCAGCAGGGAAAAGGGATTTGGAGCGGAACTTGGAAAGCCCAGGGTCCGCGTGGATGTGGGATGAGGGAGAACGAGTTATTAGATTCAGTTACTGTCACTCGCCAGCTCTGTCGCACCACAGAACCCTGCCTGGCTGGGAAGCATCTGTTGCTATTGGTTAAGGAAAGAAATATTGCAGAAATTTTAAAGAAAAAAAAAGAGAAAGAGTCAGAAGGGAGGGAAAGAGCACGTTTGGGGTCAGGCATCGGGCAGAGGAGAGAGCCAGTCCCCGGCACCCTTGAGTCCCCACCTGTCTTTGCTGCCACCAACAGGCTGTCACCTGGATGAGTCACCTACCCCATCTGTGTCTTCTCTGAACACACACACAAAAGCAAACAAAAGCCTGCACAAAATTTGGATGGTTTACGCATTCAGAAGAACGCAACACAACCAACAGAAAAATGGCCAAAGAGTTGAAATAAGCAAAAATATGCTAAAAAAAAAAAAAAAGAAAGAAAAGAAAAGAAAAAGAGGAAAACCCACAGACAACTGGGAAACATTTGTGGAACGAGTCACCTTCAGTAGTCATTATAGAAATACAAACGAGAACAATAATTTGCTTTCCATCCATCCAGTTAGGAAGGGTCTTACAAACCATGGCGTCATGCAAAGCGGGTGGCGGAGACAGGGAGGGCCCGGCGTCCAGTGATGCAAGGACTAAGTCACGGGGCGAGGGGCGCTGGGCACACAGTCAGGGCCACCGTGGTAGGGCTGCACGGTGGCAGGTGGTGGCCACGAAGTAAACACAATGTAACAGTAAGCAGGACAGACTCGCAGAATCACTGGGTCTTACACCTGAAACTAATGTAACACTGTGTGTCAACTATACTTCCACTTCCAAAAAGGCAGAAGTAAATAAATAAATGAAGAACACCACACCATCCCCAGGCCAGGACGAGCAGACGCGGGTACATTCTCCTGTGCCCATTGGCCAGGAGACTGGCTACTTCCGGGCGCAACTTAGGCGTAGGTTCAAACAGCCTTACCGTGCACACGTTTCTGGCTCAGGAAACCCATATCTAGAAGCGAATCCTAAGGGGGAGAAAACCATTCTAAAGAAATAAGGGGAAATCATGACCCAGGTTTTCTCCCAAGCACGTTGTTAGAGCAGGATTCGGGCTGTTGGAAGGAATGATTATTTTCCAAGTTGGCCCCGTGGGAACCAGCTCTTCTCTGAAGCGGGATGAGCTCCTTGTAGGGACAGAACCCTTCTCTCCTTCAGAGGAAGGGTTTAATGCGCTGCATGGACGCTTCAGTGTGCTCTGTCTCCCGTCCCTTCCAGGGAGAATGCGGGCAGGAGAGAATCAGGCGGTGGCAGGGCTGAGTCTCGACACAGTTATGGGAAACAGGTGTACCTTCCAGCTTCATACAGGGAAGTTTCTGAGGACTCAGAAGAGGGGTGGATGGAAGAGCTTGGTCCACAGCTCAGCCCAGCCGCGGGGTGGGGCGGGGGGGCGGCAGGACAAAGCCCACGGCCGGCCGGCCGGCCGGATTCCCATGGTAGAGGTGTCACGTCACTTTGCACACAGGTGCGGGTGACACCCCCATTCCTCCCATTCTGGGCTAAGCCGTATTCTCCCTTTGCATTTAGTGAAGGCTCACTGCGGGCAACAGCCCCGAGAGCCAAGAGGAAGGCAGTGACCGGCACCCGAAGGGTGTGGGGCCTCCACAGAGAGGCTGAGGGTGAAGGATCGAGACGTCTCGTGCGACAGAGTAAGGGGGCTGCAGGCTTCGGGGGTGACGAGGCAGGCCCATGGTAGCTTCCCAAGATCAGGGACATCTTTGCATGAGCTTACACCCATGGGAAGGACACTGCAGACTCAGGAACTGCGTGGTGGGGACACTTGTCTAACAGGAACGCATGTGACAGCTAGCCTTTCGGGAAGAGGGCTGCAGGTGTGGGAGGAAGGGAGGGCGGGTCATGGTTTCCTGTGTTCTGCGCCTTCTGCGAGATCCATACAAAGAGGGCTGAGACCATGCAAGGAAGAGAACTTGCTCGTGTGCACTTGTGCTAGCTGGTGAGTCTGCCTTTCCTCGGGGTTCCCGATTCTTCCCTGTGACTCCCCAGTGACTGCCTACTCCGGGGAAGGAGGGGGAGACGCTGCCCAGAACACGGTTGGCGGCCCTGCGCTCACTCTCAAGCTGCGCCCCTGGCTGGGCAGGGAGGGCGGGTGGGGCTCTGGGCAGGTAGCAGAAGACGCGCTGAGGACTGAGCCAGAAAGTTCTCTCTCGGAGAGGGCCCTGCCTGCGAGCAGATCTAAAATCCCACTGGCAGGGTTGGGGAGCACAGGGAATGAGGGATTCGGTCCCTCCGCACTTACTGCCTCTGGACCCTCGGACGAGGGTCTTGCCGAGTGTCGTGCAGAGTCCCTGGAAATGGTGCTGACGGGGATGGAGGGACAGAAGTTCCAACATAGTGGCTCAGCCCCTGCCCCCTGGGTGTGCTGAGTGCCCTCGCCTCGCCCCTCCCAGGGAGGAAGCAAAGGGGAGCCGTGAGCATGGGCCATGGGCACCAGGGGGCTGGCTCTCCCTGGCAGGGGCTGCCGCAAGCCTGCAGCAGAAGCGCCCATGAAGGGCACCCATGTGGCTGGGAGCCTGCAGCCTGCCTGAGGCCCGGCTCTGAGACAGGACACCTTGCGCAGCAGAGGCCGTGAGGCCAGAAGGGAGCAAAGAGCAAAGCTGGAGGACAGCTCAGGGGAGGGCGGCCCTCGGCCCAGGGTCATGGAGGGGGAAGGACCCGCCAGCCGGGCTGGGCTTGTGCCCAAGCTGGTTCAGTGCAGTCACAGGGCCGGATGAGAAGGTATGCTCTTCACTGTGCGAATGCAGCCAGAAATTCCAGAACTGTGACCCAGACTTTGCTTATATGTTTTCTGCCAGGACCATGAACTACTTTCCTAAAGAGGAAAAAAGAAAAGCAGTTTTGGAAAATGGGGTCGAGAAGAAGTCAGTCTGAAGGATTCCGCGTCCACGCCATTCTGGAGAAGGCACAACCAGGAGGCAGCAAGAGGACCGCTGGCCACCAGGGCCAGGCCAGGTGAACGGGTGGACACGGCCCTGGCCTCAGGGCAGGGAGCGACTCTGTGTCATAGTGTCACCGTGGACACCGGGCATCACACATCCCTCACACCTGTGGGGTGTACAACCCCGAGAGGAGCCTTCCCTAAGCTGCGGACCTCGGTTGGCCGTGAGGCGTGGATATTGGTTCGTCCGCTGTGACAAACTCACCGGAGCGAGAGGTGTGCAGCAGGGGAGACCGCGCGTGCGAGGGGCGGGGGAGGGAGGGTACATAGGAACTCTTGCTACTCAATTTTCCTGGAAACCTAACACTTCCCTAAAAAATAAAGGCTGTTTATTGAAAACTAAATACAGACGTAACAATTTTACATGGTGGCGAGAGGAGGGCAGGGAACCCGCGCAAGGGCAGAGCCGGGCGGGGTGACCGGCTTTCCTCCAGCCTCTGGGTCTTTTGCACCCGCCCCGGAAAGCGATCTGTGTCTGCACCAGCACCTCCCCTCCCCCTCGGCCGCCGGAGCTGGTCCTCTTGCCACTCTGCGCCCCTCCCTGAGGTCCCCCTGGCCCCCCGCCGAAGCCTCCAAAGGAAGCACCCGGAGCCCCTGTCCCACCTCCAGACTCCGTAACCGTCCTGGGCCTGCCCGCGGACAGGTGCCTCGCCACTTCTCATCGCCCCCAGCTACTCGTCCGGCCGTCTGCCCCGCCGCCTGCCCCGCCGCAGGGACGGCAGCCACAGCCCCCCCGCCCCCCGGCTGTTCAGGTGGGAACGCTGGGACACACAAGCCACCTCCTCCCTGGGGACCCGCGCCCTGCCCCCACAGTCAGGCCTGCCCGCGGCAGCCCCAGCCATCCTCCGGGCTGGCTCCGCTCAGGGCAGAAGCCGCACACAGCCTCTCGGGCCTCCCGGTCCTGCTGCTGTCTCAGCCCCCGGCCAGCCCCTCCCAGCCCTACCTTCTGGAAGCGCACCCCTGGGCCGCCGCAGGGGCTGCTCCCTCTGCCCCAAGGTGGGCCTCAGATATCCCCGAGGCTCCCCTGCTCCTTCAAGCATCTGCTCAGATGCCGCCTTGCCGACCCCTCACCCCTCCTTCCCTCGCCGCCCCCCTACCCCGTGGCTGACAGCCCCCAGGATGTTGCTTCAAACCATTTACGGCTTCCTCCCCCGACTAGAATGTAAGCCACGGATTCTCCCAACTTTCGTGTACTGATACCTCCCCAAGCCCCCGACCACGTGCCTGGCACACCGGGAACCCTGGTGTTCCAGAAGTATCTGTGGAATGAGCCCAGGAAGCCCCCGAAGGGTGGGCCAGGGGGACCGTACCTTCACGTTAACGGTAGGGGAGACCAGGGCGGATATTTCCCTCTGCATCCGGAAGCGCAAGCCGGACCAGGAGCCGGTGCCGCCGGACAGCACGCTGTGGCCGAAGAGAACCTTCCAGAGGGCAGAGCTGCAGGAGCTGATGCTCTGGAAGGCCTTCATGTGGATGCCTGGGCCATTTCTCCCTGTCAGGGCGGGCAGAGGAAGACAGAGGCTCAGGGGCCAGGCGCTCGGCCGGCTGCACCCTCGGGCTCTTTCCTCCCAGCCGAGGGCTCGGGAGGCACCGACTGAGCTCCGAGTGCGGCGGGCGGACCCCGGCACCTCGACCCCGGGGCCCTTACGGATTTCAACAAGATGACGTGTGCAACTGCCCCGCACAACCGTGGGACGCAACAGCTAATGGCTGAATAAATATCAGTTCTCCGCCCTCATCTGACATGATGTATATCCAGATGTTACGGATGATTATTCATTTTTTATGCCACAGTATCGATTACTTTAGGAAACGGATGTCCTTGCTCAGGTGGCCTGAAAAGTCATGCTGATTACTCCTTTTTAAAAAAATGTTTGTTGATTTTTGTATTGGGGTATAATTGGCACACAACATTATCGTAGTTTCAGGTGTACAACCGAATGATCTGATATTTGTATATATTGCAGAATGATTGTTGACTTAACACCCTTTCTGGACTCATCATTAGTCCATATACACAAAGTCTGAAAAGGCGGACCTTCTGGAATCGTCCAGGACATGCCAGACCCAACAAGCATGAGTTTGGGCTACGAACACTCCGCTCTCATCACAGTGTTGGCTGTGCCCCTGCTCACTGAGATCTACCCATACTTGGAGGACAACGTTCACACTGTGGGTGAAGAACTCCCTTCGGTGACGGTGGCATGTGTCCACTTAATATTTTGGGGGCATGGGCCATGTTTGAAGCCTTTATCCCCAGAACAGTCCAATGGGGAAAGCAGAGGCAAGCCCAGCTCCCCCACACTAGGGGTAAAAGCCATGTCCTTACGGGGTATGAATCCCGGGCAATTGGCTTGGGTTTTTTTATTCCCCTCTGTCCCTTATAAATGTCACCAATTATTCTTTTTAAAAATTGACTGCAGGAAATAATTGGTTTTCCATGACGACCTGGAAATCTTCCCAGTCAGTGGGGATTTTACAATCCATCACTTTTTTCCTGTCCTGCCATGCCTGCCGGGGAGCTTAGCCAACTCAGTGCTCGTTTAAGACCTCTAGATCACCGCGGCTGCTTCCAGAGTCTGGCCATTGTAAACAGCGCTGCAAAGAAGGGGTGGTGTGTATACACAAAGGAATACGACTCAGCCATAAAAAGGAATGAAATCTTACCATTTGCAGCAACATGATGGAGTTAGAAGGTGTAATAATACTAAGTGAAATAAGTCAGATAAAGACACATACCATATGATTTCATTTGTATGTGGAATTTAAGAAACAAAACAAATGAACAACAACAACAATAACAACAACAACAAAAAACAGAGAGACAAACCAAAAAACCAAGAAACAGACTCTTAACTGCAGAGAACGCACTGATTGTCACCAGAGGGGAGGTGAGTGAGGGATGGGGGAAATAGGTGATGGGGATGAAGGAGTGTGCACCTATAGTGATGAGCACCAGGTGATGTCTAGAATCGTTGAATCAGTATATTATATGCCCGAAACTAATACAACACTGTATGTTAACTATACCAGAATTTAAAAAAAAAAATCTCTAGATCAACCAAACGTTTAAAGTTCCTTCCAAATCTCTGGTTTCAGCTCTTCTTGCTTTGTCTCCATTTGTATATTTCAAATTATTTTGTGACTAGGTAGAGTATGAATAACACATAATGGGAGAGAAGACGTATAGTCCAACGTAGAACCCAGATGTATAGTCCAGTATAGTCCAGTGTAGAACACCTGACAAATACTTAGTGCTCTGCACTGGGTTTCCTCGTCTATAACACAGAACACTGTCAGATGCGGGAGGATTGAAGGCTCCAGCCCAAGAACAGTGGTGGCCAAAGTCACACGCTTAATAAGTGATAGTTGAAGTCACAGGAGCTTTTGAAACAGGCACCAACTTGCTATTCAGAGCAGCGCCCCCTCCTGGCTACTGGGCTCCATCCCCCTTACAGTGGCCCCGCTGTCCACGTCAGGGCTCACCCCAGGTCCCTTCCTTCCCCTCACCCATGATGTCTGCCTGGAAAAGCCCTTTGGGACAGAGGAACTTCTCCTGCCCAAGGGTGATCTCCTGGCCATCGGGCAGCTGATACTTCTGTGCGTAGGAAGGAGAGTCAGCTTTCAGTTTTTCCTTGTCGAAGTCCAAAGCCACATAGCAACATTTTTCCTTTATGTCCCGGATGTACTCCCAGTCACCTATGGGGGAAAGGCAAAGGAAAGGGCGTGACCCGAGATGGTTCGCAGGAGCAATCTGTCCCCAGGGAGCATCTTCCTGAAGACTCAGCTCCTCGTGGTGGGGACACGGCGACACAGTCGTAAGCCCACTCCTGTGTCCGTCTCAGATCCCAGCACCTCTTGGTCTGTAACATGTGCTGGGGACCCGGGCTTGTGGACAAGAACGGTAGAGCAGGGATGTCCCGAACTAAGATGTCAGCATTTGGAAAATGTCTGCATTTTATGCCGATATCCTACTACGTGTGGTGTGTGTTTTTAGGGGGTTGGAAAATCAAACCCAGTCTTGGTATCTATTAAAGTAGGGGCTGCTGTGCATGCCCCCATCCCCACCTGCTGTGAATGTTGGCTGCAAACAGCTCACAGCTGCCCCCTTCTGTGGAGAACCACCCAAGCCGGCCAGGCCCCCTGACCTGGAAACATCTGGAAGGTCACACCCTCCCACCTTCTGGGGGGCTGACCATGGGTTTTAGACCCCGCTATGTCTTTTGGTGTTATGGTTTTATATTTTGTCTATCGTTGCTTTTGAATTTGGATCGGCGCTCCCAGCACCTGCCTGCCTAGAAATCCCCCAGAGTCTCAGCCCGCTGACATCCGACTTCGACCCCCACCCACTCCACCTACACCGCTCTGCCTACATCTGTCCTGTCTTCCTTTTCCCAGAACCCTGCCGCACTCTTCAGTTCCTCCTCAGCTTCTTTCTCTCCAGAAACTGATGCTGTTGGCCACTCCCTTCTCTCTCCCTGGCTTCTGGGATGTTGGAGATCAAGAGAGTTCCTGATATTTCCCCCTTCCTCACCTACTTTGGGCTTTGGTGAGACAAACGCAGGTTTAAATCCCACCTCTGCCATTTACCAAGTTTGGCTTTAGGCCAGTTCGCTCTCTTGTAAATCTTCCCTTTCCTCTTCTTTAAGAATGGGATTAATCTCCACTCATGGGTTGCCGTGCAGATGGGATGACGTAATGCACATAAGATCTTGCTAAGCGTGAGGTGTCAATAAAATTGACCTGGCCGATACTTCTCACTTCCCCTTGCTTTCTTCTAATTGCTGCTATTCTGAAGGGTTCTGTACTTTGTGTGGCTTTGGACACAGACCTCTGGCCTGGGAAGACCAGGAGGTATAATGCAGGACTGTAGGCTTGTTGGGAATGTGTGTCATGCAAGTTATATGGCTGGGACTCTAGCCCAGGAAGTGGGTGAAAAGTGGGACAGGCACAACCTCATCTGGAGTCCCTGGGTTCCAGGTGATACACCTGCTAGTCATGTGATGTTGAAGTCACCTACTCCTCCTAAGCCTCTTCCTCTTACAGTGGAGATAAGTGATCCCCCTCACGGTGTCATAGCATGAAGCAATAACAGGAAGTATGTGAAGTGTTCGCTCAGCCAAGTGTTTTGCACAAAGTAAGTACTCTGTAAATCTCAACCCATCATCAGTCATCATATCACCACCATCTTCACCATCACCACCATCCTCATCCTCACCATCACCATCATCCTCACCATCACCACCATCCTCATCCATCACCATCATCCTCACCATCACCACCATCCTCATCATCACCATCATCCTCACCATCACCACCATCCTCATCCTCACCATCACCATCATCCTCACCATCACCACCATCCTCATCATCACCATCATCCTCACCATCACCACCATCCTCATCCTCACCATCACCATCATCTTCATCCTCATCATCACCATCATCACCACTATCACAATCACTAAATATCCCTAAATATCGATGGAGTTGTTTGGAAAGCTTGAATCATGTTCAAGTAGCCTTAGCTAAACCGAGGGCTGTAGGTTAAGTAAACCAAGCAGGATACTACACCCCAGGGACTGGTTCACCTGGCTAAGAATAACAGTGTCCTGCCTGGGCTCACCAATGAGTGCCCACTGTCTGTCAATAGTTGCAGGAGGTACAATGTTAGGTCTTGGCCTGCCGTGTCCATCTGGACAGTCGACTGATGCAAGGACAGCCATCAGTGATGGGCACAAAGCATGTCATTCCTTCTCCAGATTCAATAGTTGTTCCTAGACAAGAGAACACACCAGCATCATAATGCAGGGTGCATGACATCCCTTATCAATTGTCAAGTCTGCAGGAAGAGGTGGTAAAGGGGATATAATTGGAGGGGGAAAAAAAGGGCCTGGGGAGCAAACTTCCCTCTGTAGGGGAGTGTGCTAGGATAAAGCCTACCCAGATCAGACCAAGGGCCAACTGTTTTGGACAGAAAACCTGCAAGTATTCTTATTAAACCAGACATATAAACATTAGCAGCAGTTGCCAAAGGGTAAAAGAGGAAGAAGAATACTCTGCTCTTAACAGCTTTTTCCCTAAAAATCTGTGCATCGATGCAGGCACTGGGAATCTCTGGGTGGCACTTGAGTTGTCAAAGAGGCTGGATGCAGTGGAGGAGGCATACGTTTTAGCAAAGCAAACCACATCTCTCTGTGCTAGTCCAAAAGTTGTGATGTGGTCATGGAAATACAGGCTTCACTTTGTGTGAAATGGTGATTCGTGGAGCCATCCAGAGCGGATCAGTGGTCTGGCTGGTTGGCTTCTTTCACACTGGGATCTGGTAACCAAGGACTTCACATTTAAAATGAAGCAAAAATGAAGAAGACCTCCTCATCTAGCTAAGGTAGGAAACAAAGAGTGGGTCCCCCCATACACACCTGAAACACCTAAAACAAACATACAGGAAACAATAGTTTTCAAGATATTGGACATCAAGCAACAAAGGATGGTCTCAATGATCCCTGAGAGATAGGACATCACAAGGAAAGAACATGGCAGACCATGATCCCTCACGAACACAGACACAAAACTCCTAACCAGATTTTAGCAAGTGTATGCAAAAGATAACATGTCATGACCAAATTGATTTTATCTCAGGAATGCAAGGTTGTTCTAACATTCAAAAATCAATTAATGTAATTCACCATGTTAAAGAACTAAAAGAGAAAATTCTACATGATCTTATCAGTAGAGGCAGAAAATGCACTTGACAAAATCCAACATCCATTCATGATTTAAAAAGAAAAACACTCTCATCAAACTAGGAATACAGAATAACCTCCATAAGCTGATAGAGGATGTCAATTAAAAACCTACAGCTAACAATGCACTTCATCATTCAGAGAGACTGAATGATTCCCCACTGAAGTCAGGAACAAGGCAAGGATGCCTGCTCCCACCATTTCTATTTAATATTGTAGTGGAGATTTCTAGCGAGAGCAACGAGACAAGAAAAAATAAATAAATAAAAAGCACCCAGTTTGGACGTAAAGAAGTTAAACTATAGACGACATGGTTGCCTAAGTAGAAAATCCTAGCAGCACTAATAAATGAGTTTAGTTAATGTGCCAGGATACAATATCAGTATACAAAAGCCAGTGGTATTTCTATATACTTACGCTGAACAATCAGAAATTGAAATAAAGATACCATTTATAATAGAATAAAAATATATGAAATACTTAGAATAAATGCAATGAATGATTTCCACAACTTTTACACTGTGAACTGCAAATCACCACCAAGAAGAAATTAAAACACCTAGGAAATATACCATATTTATTAGTCAGGAGACACAATGTTGTTAAGATGTAAGTTTTCCCCAGATTGATCTATAAATTCAGTGAAATTCTGATCAAAACCCAAAGATGCTTTTTTGGTAGAAAGTGACAAAATGATTAAAAAAAAAAAAAAAGAAAGTGACAAAATGATTCTGAAATTTATATGGAAATGCAAAGAACCTGGAATGGCCAAAACGTTATTTAAAAGAAAAAAAGAGAGAGAGACCAAAGGTGTAGCTCTAACATCTTACTTCAAGACTTATAAAGCTCCAGTAATCAAGACAATGTGGTATCAACCTACAGGTAGACAGATCGATCGATGGGACAGAATACAGACCATAGAAATAGACCCACACGTATATGGACAACTGGTTTTCCCAAAAATGCATAGAGATAATTCGATGAAGAATGCAGGGTCTTTTCAACAAATGGCATGGGAACAACCGGACATGTATGTACACACTAAAAAAACACTTCATTCATGCCATATGCCATACACAAAACTGTATTCCACATGGATCACAGAACTAAGTGTAACACTGAAAATTATAAAACTTCTAGAAGAAGTCATAGCAGAAGAGCCTTGGGTTCAGCGTGTGTTTCTTAGATATTATACCAAAAGCATGATCCACACACACACAAAAAATGGATAAACTTGACTTCATTGAAATTAAAAACTTCTGCTCTTCAAAGCACATGGTGAAGAAAATGAAAAGCCAAGCCAGAGACTGGAAGCAAATCTTTGCAAAACATATACCTGGCAAGAGACTTGTACTCAGAATGCAAAAAAGAATTCTCAAAACTCAAAGATGAGCAACTCAGGAGCATATGGGTGGTTCAGTCTGTTGAACATCCGGCTCTTGATTTCAGCTCAGGTCATGATCTCAGGGTCCCAGGATCAAGCCCCACATTGGGCTCCACACTCAGCGTGGAGTCTGCTTGTCCTTCTCCCTCCCCACCCCCCACTTGTGCTCTTTCTCTTTCTCTCAAATAAATAAGTAAATAAAATCTTTAAAAAAAACAGGTGAGGAACTCAGTGAAAAATTGGCAAAACATTTGAACAGACACTTCACCAAAGTAAACATAGGGGTGGCAAATTAGCACATAAAGGAATGCTCACCATGCCTGCTGGTCAGGGACCTACAGGTCAAAACCACAGCAAGATGCCCTGTGCACCTGCTAGAAGGGCTACCACGGAAATGACTGGCCACCCCACTCTCACGCGGCTGGTGGAATGCAAGCCGGGCATGCAAGCGCCCTGGGAGCTAGTTTGGCGGATTTTTTAAAAAGTTAAAATACTCTTACCATCTGACCCAATCATTTCACTTCTAGGTATTTTTACCCAAGTGAAACGAAAGCGTATGTCCACGTAAAGACTTATAGACAAATGTTCACAGCAGCTTTATTTATAACAGCTCCCAACTGGAAAGAACCTGAACGTCCATCCACAGGTAAAAAATCAGCAAAGCGTGGTGCATTCACGCAATGGACTACTGCTTGGTGATAAAAAGAAATGAACTATTGATACTAGCAGTAACACAAATGAGTCTCCAAATAATTATTTTGAGAGTGAAAAAGCCATAGAAAAAAAGAATACATACCCAACAACATTTATACAAAATTCCAGAGAATGCAAGCTCGTGTCAGGATAGATTGCAGGGGCGCAGCGTGGGGAGTGGGGGGGAACGTTTAGGAGTATCAGATACGTTCATTATCTTGACCTTATCATGAGGGTATCCACACATCAAAACTTCTCAAATTGCATGCCTTAGGCACACTGACTTTGTCATGTACCAATGACACCTCGATAAAGCTGTTAAGGAACATGGGAAGCCAATTGCTTATCCTGGAGGTAGGAAAGGGGAGTTAGGAGGAGGGCTGTACAGGTTGTATCTTGTGGACGCTTCTCTTCATTTACTATTTGGCAGGGAGGAAGGGGACATGCGTGGGCTCGTGGGGCTTCAGGAGGGCCACTCACTGGAGGTCTGGCCAGAGGCGTAGAGAGAAAGGACTCCCTGGTTGGCTAAGTAGAGGGCGGGCACATTGAACGTCTCAAACAGGATCTGTGGAGAAGCAGTGGGAAAAACTGGCAGCCAGGCCAGTGGACAGAAGAGCAGGTGGCTCTTCCGCTACTTCTGGGGCACACGGAGCCCATCTGCAGGGGCACCTGGCTCCCCCGGAAAGCCAGACAACGGGGTCAGGGAGCATGCCACTCTTCATCCCAGCTCTGCCCCAGGAGCTCCATGACTCTGTTTCCCAGCCTGTTATGCGGGCTCACATCCTTCCCAGGGACCTTACGGGGCAGACCTAACGGACTGTCACAGGACCGAGGGGATTGCATCATCTTCTGGGCCACCACGTTACCACGATGGGGATGATGCCGAACTCCCAGTGCCTCTGTGAAACCAGCATTGTCCTCTCCACGCTTTTGTCTTTTCTGCTCTTGGAGGATAGGCAGACTTTACATGAATCCCAACACTTGGACTGGGGATGATTTACTTGTTTCATGATACAAACCACGAAAGCTATCAGTTACTATGTGTTAACTGCATGCCAGACACTTAGTCCAGACATGGCTTGGTCAAGAACGCTGTCCTAGGTACTGACTGTCCACAGGGCGGAAGACGCAGACAGGGGAGACACATCCTTGCTTTGGCTGCCCATGGCGCCCCACCCCGAGGTATGGACATTGACCGTACCTCATCCACACGGGAGACCAGTGGACAAGAATGTTAGGGAGCATTGTCAGGTGGCAGGGGTGGGAGGCTGGGCACTGCCCCCATGAAGGTGGCTGAGCGAGGGAATGACTCTCCTGCAAGATGGTGACACTGGGGTCCACAAGATTTCAAGTTTCTTTTGATGGGAGGACCAACAAGCAGTCCCTCGGACAACTGAATGGCAAACTGTGTCAGGTACAGCTCCAAGTCTGCCAGACGGGGCCACCAGAGGGTTGTACCTGGGGACAAGGTGACAGCCAGCTGGAGCTGTTGGGGGCATCTTATGGACGGCCAGTGGGGTGGTTAGCTGGGTTTGCAGGGATCCCTGTGGATTGGCTCCCAGGCATGGGGCTGTCCCTTGTTGTTTGGTACCCAGTTCTGGGGCAAATAGGGCAGGTGTACCATGACCCTGGAGTGGGACAGGACTATAAGGGCAGAGGCTAGGGTGTGGGCTGCTCAAGAAGTGAACCAACTGGCCTCTAGCAAAGACCTCAAAACCCAGTAAAGACAGCACTTTAGACAACAAAATTGCACAGAGCTGGGTCCACCCCTGAGTGTGTGACTTGCCACGAGGGTCACAACGCACCTGTCTAGGGGCAGCCATCTGTGGGGGCTTTAGGATTTACCCAAGAGAAGAAAAAACACGTGTTCATGCGAAGACTGGTTCACGCCTGTTTGCACCAGTCCCCAAGCTGAGACCACCCAGACATGCATTTGCAACGTGACATGTGGACAGCCAGGTGCCTGGATGCAGGCACCACCTTGAAGGACAGAGGGGTGGGCGCAGCAGCGTCTGTGAGTCTGTGTCACTCTCCGGTGCCCCCGGAATTGGCATCCTGGTGGAGGAGGTGGGACATGGACTCCAGGTGGGAGAACAGCTTTTGTGATCCAACTAGAGACCCCACCCCCTAAAAACACAAAAACAAAAACCAACCTCCGCTCCCCTGGCCTGGCATGAGGTCACAGAGCTCGGAAGGGTCTTCAGGGATCCTGTGGTCAAACTCCCACCTTACAGATGAGAACACTGAGGCAGCATTTACTGAATGCTCATCAGGCTCTAAGCAAGGTGACCCGCACTTCATGGCATTGACTCATCTCGTTTCCGTGACACCCCCCAGCACGGGACCATTATCATCCTTCTGAGAGGGAAATTAAGACACCACGAGGACAAGGAATCCACCCAAGGTCACACATGCTGGGAGAACCAGGGCCAGAATCCGGCTCCTCCCTGCACCCTGGGCTGCTCCCCCTACCGGCTTCTCTGCTGGGACCTGGCCCCAGACATCCTGCTAACGCACACTTATTCTGGGAGAAGTCCGCCCTGCACTTCTCAGTCTGTTCCAGCTTCCAGAAGGCTGCCTTCCATCTGCCTGCAGAAGCTTCCACCTTTCTTGACCACTCTCTGCCCTGGCCTATAGCCAGAGGCTCCCCTTCCCTGGGCGACCCACGGGGTTCTACCCATGGGGACCCCAGAAGGAGGTCTGAGGGAGGCAGGAGATGGGATGCCCCTGCTCCCTCCCTGCGGGTCCCTCCAAGGCCACAGCTCCTGGCAGAGGCCCTCTCAGGGCTGCGAACCACCCATGCTCTGCCAGGTTTAGGGGGCAACGGCTCCCCATTACTGGCCCAGAGCTCTGCACCTTCTCCTATAGCTGTTTTAAAACTTAGGCTCACCTTTGTATGTAAGCTCTTCAATAAAGTCTCACCAGAATTGCCCGAGGTGAGGGTCCCTTTGTTTTCCTGCTGGGATCTCGATGTAGTTAGAGGGTGAATTGAGAGAGAGCCAGGGCAGAAAGGCAGGCAGGCAGTGGGCCCAGGAGAAATGGGGAAGTCCTGGAGACAGGCTGTGTGGCCGGTGCAATATTTTGTGTGAGGGTTAATTTTAGGTGTCAATTTGACTGGGACATGGGGATCCCAGACATTTGGTCAATCATCATTCTGAGGGTGTCTATGAGGGTGTTTTTGGGTAATAGTAACATTTAAATGGATAGACTGAGTAATGCCCATTACCCTTCCCAGGGTGGGTGGGCCTTGTCCAATCAGTTGAAGGAAGATCTGACTAAAACAAAAGGTTCCAGCCTGCTGACTCACCCTGCAGATCCTGGGACTTGTCAGTCCCCATAATCACATGAACCAATTCCTTAAAGCAGATCTCTTTCTGTGTGTGTGTGTGTGTGTGTGTGTGTGTGTGTCCATCCCATTGTTCTGATTCTCTGGAGAACCCTAAGACACTTTGAGGGTGGCACATTCCCCTCGAGTGGAGGACGGCCCTGCTTCTCTCTTGTCTCCCCAGCTCACTGGGTCCCTGATGAGCACCTGCTGTTTTCAGACCAGATACCTGCCATTTCAAGGCCGTGGGCTTTGTGCCCCTGTCCACGTGGACCCCAGCTGTGGCCCACTTCTGTGATTTCCCTGTCCATGTGCAGAGGAAGATTCATCGGCCCCCTCAGGGCTCTATTTTAAATGAGGCACAGCTCACACCTGTGCTCTGATTGCTGGAGCTCAGTTTCTGGGCCACGGAGCAGGCCTCCACCATGTGCAGGTGGTAGCGCAGGCTGCTGGCTTGCCCTTTGGGTCACTGCTCACGGCAGGAGACGCCACTGGGCTCCAGGGGCTCTGGGCCAGGTGGTAGAAACTTGCTGCTTGCTTAATTAGTTCATGGATGTCCTCATTAGTTGTAACTGGAACCTGGACAGCCAGCGGCAGCCCCTGCAGCCCCCTCCCCACCTGGACCCCCTCCAGCCCTAAGGAAGACTCTGCAGCCTCCTGGGAGGCACGCTCTTTTCTCCCCCAGTCTGTCCCTGATGGCCTCTGAGAACCAGTTTGATCCAGTTCAACCTGGTCAATCCGATCCGCACTCACCACCAACTCCTTCCTGGGGGGCAGGCCCAGGGGGAAGCTGGGAGCTCTCGAGTCAGGGTTGGACCTCCAAACAGGCCCCACATGTAGCAGGACTGAGGATGAGTCTGTGGCGTCAGGTCTTGAGGACCCAGTGGGCCTCCCAGCCACCTGCCCTGTGACTTTATTCCAACTACTTCTGCTCCTAGACTCTCCCCTGTCTTCATCTGTGCACAGGGACTTGAATTGCCCTGCCCATAGCCCGGCTGTCAGGTCTAACTGAATAAGTCACATTAAACACCTCGCTCCCCGCTGACCCCTTGGTGTGCTCTTCCGTGGTGGCCATCACGCTCACCGCTAACATCAAAGGGGACAGATCTCTGCTGTGTCTGCATCTCACTCAGCAAAGAGGTGACGCCCTGAGGGCATTCCCCAGGCTAAAGAAGGAGGCCAGAGCAGCCACCCACCCCGTGCTCCGTTCCCCGACCCTATCGCCCACCACCTGGCCCCTTACCTGTGACATCTTCTCTTTGTTTGATATTATGTTTAAAGGCAGTTCGGTCACCATCAGAGGATGCTGCTCTGGGGCGATGCGGAGCACCTGGTAGAAGGAGTGATGCCAAATCTGTGGCAAGAGAGGGTTAGATACGGTGACACCGTGAGCCACGGCCGATCTGCTGCAAGGGGGACTGATCCTGTCTACACCGCAAAGTGGCTTGTGCAGTAGCAGATGCAACTGTGTGATTCACTATGTGATTCACAGCAGGAAAGACAGCATGGCTGCAGACAGGACACAGATCCTCCATTTGTGTACCGGCCTTGCGTCAGGGGTGGGGAGCACATGAAGATGCATGAGGCATAGTCCTTGTCTGATGGGGGGTGGACATGAGCCCCGAGACAGGACAGCGGGGAGCATGGCACCAGGCGTGTGCCAAACAAGCGACGTGACTTCATGGGCTGTTTCCTCATCTGTAAAATAGAGAATGTTCCCTTCCTCCTAGAGATCACGAGGACATCATCGAGGACCAAATACAACATTTGTAGAAAGCCTGGTGTGTTTGTTTCCTGTGGCCACCATGAGTGGCTTAAATTATAGGATTTATTGTCTCCCAGCCCCGGAGGCAGGAAGTCAGCCAGGCGGGGTCCTCCCGAGGCCTGTCTCCTCGTGTGGGGACGGCCCTGCTCTCCCTGGGCCCTCACGGGGCCGCCCCTCCGTGCGGGTCTGCGTCCTGATGTCCTTTTCTTATAAAGACCCCAATCAGATCATATAAGATCCCGTTCTAGTGACCTCATTTTACTTTAATTGCATCTTTTAAGACCCCATCTCCAAATATGGTCACATTCGGAGGTGCTGGGGGTCAGGGCTCCAACATAGGAAATTGGGGGACACAGTTTAGGCCACAGCACCCAGCAGAGTGCTTGGTGCACAGTACGTGCTCAAGAAGCAATGGTTACTTACTCTGGATAAAGGTCCTGCCTGCCTCTGGGGAGAGAGGCTCCTTGGAGAACTGAAAACAAAAGTGAGCGACACACTCCCTGGGGGAAGTTCAGTGGAGGAAGCGTCTCAGGAAAGGGGGCACTGGTGCAAGGCCATGGAAGCACAAAGCAACATGGCGCCCAGCAAACAGCAAAAGCCAGACAGGTGGGCTCGTGGCTGGATGTCCAGCCACTGATGGACAGGAGCAGGGAAGTGGCATGATCAGATGTAGGAGAGGCACTCAGCAGGCCATGTGGGGGTGAACCGGAAGGGCGAGGTAGGAGAGCGGGCACCATGGGGGAGGATTGTTGCAATGATCCTGGTAACCGGGCAAGAACTGAATCAAGAGCTGGAACCAACACACTGGAAGTCAGTTCCGCTAGGGCTCAGTGACTGGACAGGGGAGGTAAGGGGAGGGTGGAAGCCACAGCCCAGGAGGTAGCCCGGGTCCTGTAAGCTGATGGGCTACACACTCCAGAGACCTGTCTACACTGCTTCAGTTTCTGCATCCCCTGTGACACACTAATGGAGGGCTACAGCCAGACCCACAGCCGACACCTCAGCTGTGCAGATAGGAAGAGTGTCTGTGAGGGACACTCCCACAACCACCCTCTAAGATGGCCCCCAGGGATGCACACCTCCTGGCATCCATGCCCGGTGCAGACCTTTCCCACACTGAACCAGGACTGGATCATGCAACCTACAGAGTATGGCAAAAGTGAGGGCATGTGGCTTTCAAGGCTGCATCATAAAGCTGTGTTGCAGCCTTCATGTTGGCCCCCTTGATTGTTCACTCTGGGGGAGGCTAACCACCATGCCATGAGGACATCTGAATGGCCCTGCAGAAAGTCCCCAAGAAGCACCCCCTTCCTGGCCACACGGAGCACTGCCTTGGAAATGTCTCCTCCAGTCCCAGTCGAGCCTTCAGATGGTACGGCCCCAGCCGACTGACTGCTGCCTCACAAGAGACCCTTAAGCCAGAACCACCCAGCTGAGCCACTCCCAAATGCCTGACCCACAAAAACTGTGGCCATCGGTGTTTTAAGCCTCTAAGTTTTGGAGTGGTTTGTTATGCGGCACCGATAATTAATCCATCTTCCTAGGCAGCATGCAAGCTCCAACCATATATGGAGGACCTGATCAGAACCTTCAATTACTAAGACAGGGGCGCCTGGGTGGCTCAGTCGTTGGGCGCCTGCCTTCGGCTCAGGTCACGATGCCAGGGTCCTGGGATCGAGCCCCGCATCGGGCTCCCCGCTCTGCAGGAGGCCTGCTTCTCCCTCTCCCACTCCCCCTGCTTGTGTTCCCTCTCTCGCTGTGTCTCTGTCAGTCAAATGAATAAAATCTTTAAAAAAAAAAATTACTAAGACAGAGTGGTCCAAATAGCCACATTCATTACATCCGTACTGTGCTGGACTAAAGAATTTTATTCTTACAGTAAAATATATATACCACGAAATTCAATTTTAGTGGCATTAAGTGCATTCACATTGCTGTGCAACCATCACCACCACCTGTCTCCAGAAGTGTTTTTATTGCCCTCAACTAGAACTCTGTCCCCCTTACACAGTAACTCCCATTCCCACTCCCCCAGCACCCACCGTCCTACTTTCTGTTTCTATGAATCTGCCAACTAAGGGTGGAACCCTACAGTGTTTGTCCTTTTTTTGTCTGGCTTATTTCACGGAGCGTCCTGTCCTCAAGGTCCAGTCAGGTTGTCACGGGTGTCCGAACGTCCTTCCTTTTCAAGCCTGAGTGATAGTCCACCATATGTACACGGCACGTTTTGCGTACCTACCCATCTGCTGATGGGCACCTTGCTTGTTTCCATATTTCGCAAACAATGCCGCACTGAACATGGGTGTGCAGATCTCTCTTCCTGTCCTTCTTTTCAGTTTTTTAAACTTTTGAGGAACCACCATGCTGTGTTCCACAGCGACTGCACCATTTTACGTTCCTGCCAGCCACGCATGAGGTCCCAAGGCCAACACGTGTCATTTTCTGTCGTTGTTGCTGTTTTTAAATGGCCATCGTTAAGTGTGGAGCTGAGTAGGGACTTCTTGTCCATCATTCCTTTAATCCTCACACCAGTGCGATGTGCAAGGAAAAATTAGACCCCTTTCTTACAGATAAGGAAACGGAGGGCCAGGGAGGCGGGTTACTTGTCCAAAATGACACAGATAATAAGTCATAAAGACAGGATTCAGGCTCAGGTGTCTGACTCTACAACCCATGTGGTTAGGAACGAGACATAGTGCCTATAGGGACCGAGGGCTAAGAGACGCCCAGAGAGCCCTGGAGGCTGCGGCACCTCCCTCCCCAGGTGCCTGGCTGGCAGGTACGCCACCGAACGCCCCGTGAGCACGTTCCCCGCCCCCCCGCCCCAGCAAAACCTGAGCCTACCTTCTCCATGTTGTCCCAGTTAGTGATGGTCACCCGGGAGATGGGATATTGCAGGTTAAGCTCCCCTCGCTTTTTCTGAGCCTCGTCTCTGATGAACCAGTCTTCTTCTTGCATCCCCACCAACGGATTCTGAAAGACACAGGCCAGGACAGATCTGCTCTCAAGAGGGACTCCCCTCCACTCGGCTCCCATGCGTTGGTGCATGGTGAGCAGGGACCAGGAGCCGTGATGTGCTGCTGGGGGACAATTTCAGGTCATCCGTCTCCTCTCTGTCCGATGGAATGACGTCTTCCGTCCCACATACCCCACGATGGTGCTGCCGGGGCAGCGAGTTAAGGAGGACGCCAGTGGGGAATGCATTTCGTAACCTGAAAGGACAGGCTGACGCCAAGGACCGTCCGTGCTGCCCTGCCTCTGACACTGTCTTGCTCAGCCAAATCCTCGTGTGTGAGGGTGGGGGACAAGGCAGGCCCGCTGGGCGGGGAGGAACAGCGTCGCCCTGCCGGGACGGACCGGGCTCGCGATGGACTGTGGGCCTGCCTCTCTGCGGCCACGGGGCCTCCCACGAGGGGTCTTGTGGCCAGCCTGCCGCCAGACCAAAGCGCACGGGAGGGGCCGTGGAGCTTGGGAGTCCACGCGGAGCGTCCTGTCAGGTGTGGACTCCTCTTAGGGATGGAAACTTACCTCCTGCGGCCCAAGGCCTGGGAGGGTGGTGGCCGAGGGACTCGAGGGACCCAAAGCCAGAAAACCCCATGCACTGAGGTTTGGGCGGGTTGTTTTCTGCCCTGGACATTCACTGTGGTCCCCGTTTCTATTCTGGTGAGGAATTTGATCTTTCTCACTGTGATTTTATGCTTTATCATGTGTGTAACCTATTTCATATATAATCCTGCTTCCCACTCCTTGTACAGTTAACAGGGATTTTTTTCCTCCCCTGGGGCCATGGAATGTCCCCGTGGTGCAACATCTAGCCTTTGCCTTGTAGGACCAATTACCACTCTCTTGGGACAAGATATGCCATGCCAAGGATTTCAAACAGAGGGACCGAATGTGGGGCTTTGGTGACACAATGTGGGGAGTCTGAACGAGCCAGCAGGGAACACTGAGGTGCCCAGAGAGTAGGAGCCCAGGATCGTGGGGTGGAGAACAAGGGGCAGCAGGGAGAGCTCAGAGGAGCCCACACGGAGCTGGAAGAGGGCGCCGCGTGGACCGGGGGGGGGGAGGGGCAGGAGGGTGGGAGGGTTGGGAGCGTGCAGACCCTTGGCACTGCCCATGGGTGTGAACGGGGCAAGAATCCAGCAAGGAAGACCTGCCCCTCCTCCTCCCTCCCAATCTGCCCTAGTGCCCCAGATTCGCGGCACCTGTCGGGGAGCATTGGATGGGGGTGTCCCAGCCCAAGAGTCACAGAGCCAGACGAAGTTGGGGCCTGTGGACAACAGGCAGAACCCAGCTGTAGTGGGTTGAAGGGTGGCCCCCAAAAGTTGTGTCCACATCCAACCCCTGGAACCTCTGTGGAGGTGACTGTGTTCGGAAATAAGGTCTTTGCAGATGTGGTTAATTTAAAGATATTGAGATAAGAAGATCCTGGATTATTGGGGGGGAGGAGGGTTAAATCCAGTGACAAGTGTCCTTGTAAGAGTGGGGACAGAGACCAGAAGAGGAGGGACCGCGTGCAGGCTGAGCAGAAGCTGCAGGGGACATGGCCACGAGCCCAGGGGCACCAGGAGCCCCCAGCAGCTGGAGGAGCAGGGAGGACCCTCCCACCAGCGCCACAGGCCCTGCCCACACCTGGATTGAGGACTTCCAGCCTCTAGAACTGGGGCAGAATAAGTTTCTGTTGTTTTAAGCCATCAGCCCGCAGTCACCCGTTACGGCCAACCCAGGACACTCACACTCATCACAGTCACCACCCTCAGCATCGTCTCCATCGCCACCTCACTGAGGCGACGGCCAAACTGGCACACATGCTTTCATTAACCCCGTTACGTGCAAGAGGAAACTGAGCTCTAGAGGCAACTTGCCCAAGGTCACCCGAGTGCTGCGGCAGGGCCGGTGTTCGGATGTGGGTCTCCTGGCCCCGCAGACCCACTCTTCAGCACAAAGCTCTGCTATCTCAAAGAAACAGGCCCGTCAGCTAGCCAGGGGGCAGGCACCTGCTATTACTCACTTAGAGAGGGGCAGGGATGCTCGCTTTCGGCCTCCCAACATGTCACAGGTCACAATGTCCATCTTAACCCGAGCTGCATGATTAGAAATGCTGCCATTAATTTGCTCCAAGTGATGCAGGGCCCAGGCGTAGGCCCCCTGGGGCCCCGTGATGTTTGGGGTTCTCCACGTGACCATGCCGCTCCCTGTCATGGATGGGTAAACTCCCCAAGGACAGTGACTCCGCACCAGGGCCTCGAACTCGGCAGGCCCAGCCTCTATCACTTGCTCACACAGGGATATGGGCAAGTCGCCTCTGGAGCTGTCGGTTCCTCTTTAGGGGGAAGGGCCATTGTGGGATCTACCTTGTAGGGCCACCAGGCTCCTGTCAACTCAACGAGTTCCCATCCTCATGTGAGCTGAGGGCCTCACAGCTGCTTTGGCTGGGAGAGGCGCGGGGACGTGGCAAGGCCCCCAGGAAGGAGGCAGGCGACCACCTTGCAAAGGCCATGCGGGTCTGGCCGGCGGAGCTGGAGGCAGTCCTATCTGCCGCCCCCAAGGATGGCCCAGAGGAGGAGCACAGCATCTGGCCTGCAGACGTGGTTTAGTCTGCACAGGCTTTCTAGAAGAGTGAGTTACCCTAACATCTGGACACAAAAATCTGAATTTCTTAGACACCAAATTGCCATATGAGCCAGCAATCCCACTCCGGGGGACACACCCCAGAGAACGGAATGCGGGGCCTCAGATGGACATCAGGACCCCCACGCCCACAGCCGCGCTGTGCACACCCGAGGTCGAAGCCACTCACGTCGTGCCGAAGTTTCCCGAGGATGGTGGGGAACATGGCCAGAGGGGCCTCTGTGCCCGACAAGCCCACCTTGCTGAAGACTGAGCCATAGTCACAGACGAGGGGCACGTTCATCGTGTCGTGCGTGACCCGGATGGGGCTGCAGGAGACACAACGTGGTTATTCATGCCATTTGCAAGGTGCTCGAGCAAGGGGCAGGGGCTGTGCCGGGGGGTGGACACGGGCTCGGCACTCAGGGCAGTACAGGTGGCTCCCCGAACCTAGAGGGGGTTGGAGGGGCAGGGTCGAGCCACTGTCTGGGTGCTGAGGGCAGCTTTCCATGACCACGTGTGCATGGCTGCCTGGAGAAGGCAGGCCTGGGGGGCCAGCTCCTGGGCGAAAATGCTCCTGCTAGGACTCAGCCTCTACTGGTTTCTGGCACGGCCCGTGACTTGCCTCACAGGGGGTCCTCTTTCCCATTCACTGAGCCAGAGGCTTTGGACAGAGAGACCCCGGGAGGAGCCGGTGGTCCTGGTGGTCACTGCCAGGCTCCCCCTGAGCCCCCCTTAAATCCCACCTCTCCCGGAGACCCCGCTGGCCTCCTGGCCCCGGGGTGACCCTCATCCCTCCCCTCGCTTTGCTTCCAGACATCTCCTTTATGTCTCTGTAGGTTTGGAAAAACATGAGAAAATGCAGAGAAGAAAGTCACGATCACCCACAGCCCCACCACCTACAGCTGCCTTGTTATATTTTGAAAATTAGTGCAGATCTATTATATAGGATTTTTTAAAATTAATTACCCTCAGAATAAACCAATCCATTTTCTCTTTTGAATATTGCATTTTAACGAGATCTTTATCATCACATTTCGTCCCTTTAAGGCGGTTTTCATTACTTTTTGGGTAGAGAAGGTCTGTGTATATATATTCATTATGGAAAAGAGAACACACTCTGGGGGGAGACAAAGCGCTCCCCAGACCCTACGAATCGCAGATGGCCATCGTGAACGCAGGGTATTTGCCCTTGCAGTCCTTACAAACCACAGAGAGGTCACTTTCTCTCCCGTGCTCTGAGGACAGCCGCATGGCCAGGATTCCAGGGGCCGCGGAGACTTCACGGGGTTGTGATTGGCTGTTCTCACAGACACAACTTCAGGCCTGGGGCCAGACCCTGGATCCTCTCTCAAGGAGTTCCCAGCTTATAGCAGAAACATATTCGTGTTTTTTTTTTTTTTTCTCACCATGCACACACGTTACGCCTATTACAGAGGAGACGTTTTATCTGTGGTTTCCTATTGGACATTTTTCTCGACATTTTCCGCATTCCCGAGTCACCAGGTACCACGTGGATGCTTTCTGTGAGTGCAGAGCCCGGCACCAGCCTACTACGATTTGACCATGCCCGCCTGGGGAACGCTCGGGCCCTGGCAGACTGGCCTCCCCTTTCCACGGGACCCCAAGGTCGCACCGGAATGGGCATGGTACAAGCAGCTGGCCCCGCCCACGCTGTCCACCAGGCGCTCATCGGTCACACGCCACTGGGGAGCTGGAGGCTGGTGGCTTGGGACGGGGTGCTTGACCTCTCCAAAACCCATGGCAGCAACGGTATTCAAGTGTGGGGTGGTTGCGGTGGGAAAGGGCCCATGAGGGATGTTGTGGGTTAGTTTCCCCCCAAGAGAAGGCATGTTGGCGTCCTGACTCCCGGCACCTTTGGAAATAAGGTCCTTACAGGTGTAATCAGGTTTAAAGGAGGTCATGCGTAAGGGCAGGCCCTCATCCAATGACTGGGGTCTTTTTTAAGAGGAAGAAATTGGACACAGACAGGAGAAGGTCATGTGGAGACAGAGCATCGCTGGAGTGATGTGTCCACGAGTCCGGGCATGCCCAAAACTCCTGACAACAGCCGGAAGCTGGGAGAGAAACCCGGAGCAGAATTTCCTCCCGCCCGCAGACGTAACCAGCCCTGCCCTCACCTTCATCTCGGACTGCCAGCCCCTGGGACCAGGACAGAGTGCACTCTTGCTGTTTTAAGCCCCCCAGCGTGTGGCAATTTCTTACTGCAGCCACGGGACACTAACAGAAGGGGCCCTCACTGCTGTGAGAAAGGGGCTGCATCCCCGTCTTTCCGGGCCCTTCTCATCCTCAGACTGCAGCTGAGACGTGGCCCCCAGCCCAGAGAGGGCTTTCCAGAGTGGTCACTATTAATCCCTTCATTCTGCCTTATTTCTCTTCCCGTCACTTCTTATACACTGTTGGAATGAACACGCTCCTTTTTCATTCAATTGGACATTTTCTTTTAACTTTGCCCGAAGATTTTAGCTCTACACACACGAGGCTCAGCAGAGAAGCTCCAACACATGCATTCCTGGGGGTGGTGGCCCTCCCTTCTTCCTTCCCTCCCTCCCTTCCTTCCTTTTTCCTTTAATTTTCCTTTGTTTTACTCTTCTTGATGAACTGTTGCTCACCCGCGAGTAGCTAAGCCACACAATCCTAAGTCCAAACATAACTCAGGTAAACGGCATGGGGGGTGCGGCGCCTGTGGGCCTTGCGGCAACACGTTGGGGACAGGAGCTGATGGCGGGCTGGGATCAGGCGCTGTGATCTCTGCAAGTCCCTTCTTGGAGTTTCAACACTTGCAAATTAAAAGTGAGACATCAAGATGACCAAGATGAATGTGGATCTCCTCGGCATGACCAGCTGAGCCTACCGGTGGCTGGGGAGCCGATGATATTCCAGCGAGGGCCAGAGTCAGCGCACGTACCTGCAGAGCTCACTTAACCAGGAGAGGCGCGCTGAACTGAGAGTGGACCCGGTCACAAGTGCATAGGTGCTCCAGCCACGTGGGTTTGGGCTAAACCCGTGAGCATTTACTGGTGAGCTCGGTTTTCTGTCTGGCGCACATGGACAGTGACACATGCCTCATGGGTGCTGGGTTAAGCAAGCACCATGCCTGGTCCATAGGACTTGTTCAACCAACAATAACAATTATCATTATGTAATCAGTTGTGATCTGGAAATCAACATGTCACGTAAAGCTATTGCACATTAAATTTCTAAACCATAATCCCCACAGGCCAGTTTCCTGGGGTGAGATGTTTCATGCGGTCCCCCAGGGAGTATGCGGAGCTGCCCGAGGGGGTCCACCTTCAGCTCAGGCACTGGGGAGGACGTGCTCTTGACCCCGTATCCTGACCCCAGGCCCAGCTGGAGAGTCCAGCCGTTCAAGTGAATGAGCCCTGCATTTCCTTAAATAAAGGTGAAAAGTGGGCAGATAAAGTGGGCAGCCTGGAGCCACAGGGCCTGGAGACCAATCAGCATGGCTCTGGTTCTTGCAGGCGACTCTCTGAGCAGTTACATAGCTTATAATGTCCAACTCCCTACGACCAGTGATATGGGTTCTGAGCCAAGCCATGGACTTCCTTAATCAAGTCAGACTGATGTGGTATGAACTGCAACGTGGGGCACATCCATCGGGTGCCCTGGGCCTGACCATCCGCCTCCCTCCACTGTGGATGTAGGAGGAGAGGTTCTTCCTGCCTGTGACTTGGTGAGCCTGATGGGTCCTTTGTCTGCTCGAGGGGTGTGACCTCAGAGAAGAGCATTCGTGTAAAGGCTTATGTTTTATAAACTGTAAAGTGCCATACACACCTGGACAGTGACCATGATGAGAACATCAAGGACTTAAGCTCAGGATATTTTGAGTAATTTCAATTTCCCAGATGAGGGAGGATGGGGTGCGTGAGTGTGTGTGGGGTGGGGAGTGGTCTCGAATGGAAGACAGGTCAGTAGGCTGAAATATTTGGAGGGACTTGTGTGAGCTGCAGATGGATAGACATATAGATGTGCACAGAGATACGCAGATACATGGATAGATGCACAGACAGACGTGATCATTTCTATCCTCACATTTCTTACACATCTGAGCTCAGACGACCACGTCTTCACCTAGTCCATTTGTTAAAAAGGAATCCGTCTCAAGACGGTCCTTACAGAAGAGGAGCGATGGGTCTGCTTCTCTGCACAGTTTCTAGAATCTCAGCTCCCTTTTGTAATAATACATAATTCAGTCCCATACATGCGTATGGGACCCCGACTCAGAACATTACTTTAGCAGGTGCAGGAGAAGCTCGGCGGAGCCCTCCTTCCTCCCCGCCCCCCATGGAGCCGAATCATCCCTGATGCCTCGGGACAGGATTCGTCCTCACGGGAAACAGATAGGTTGGGCAGAGTGTGGCTACTGTCTCTTTTTCTTATGAAAATGACATCAAGCTCCCTGCGGCGGTGTCCCAGCGAGAGGCCACATAGAGCTGAAAGGGACCAGAACATGCAATGCTTACACGCTTCCCATTAACAGTCCTTCCTTTAGTGGGAAATCACCCTGACTGGCTTCCAAGGTGTCTAACAAAAAGTGGAGAGAAACACGCCCAGGATGACTTCACGGGGTTGTGATTGGCTGTTCTCACAGACACAACTTCAGGCCTGGGGCCAGACCCTGGATCCTCTCTCAAGGAGTTCCCAGCTTATAGCAGAAACATATTCGTGTTCTTTTTTTTTTTTTTTTAAACACTTTAACTCATATGATAAGGACTATCAATAGGAGGCAACATTGTGAGTTGGCTTTGGAAGACCTGGCCAGATTCCAGACAAGGGAGCAGACAAGCCAAAGTCCAGAGTCTGGGCTGAGCGGGGCAGCCCTTGGAGAAGTACGTGAGAAGCATGTTTCAGATGGTCTCGAGGGTCTTCGATTCCTTATGCCCCCACATCTATCGCATCTGTTCGGTTCGTTGAGATGTTAACACCAGCCACCACACGGAAAGGACTTGCCCATGCAGGACGCAGGTCTAAGTGAGCTCACATAGGCCCCCCAGCACCCCTGTGGGGCTGGGGGTCACCACTCTCAACCCGTCGCTGAGGAGTTGGGCACAGGGGGTAAGGCAAGACCCCCAGCTCCTGAGAGCTGCACGGAAACTCAGTCCCACGCAGCGCGAATCCCTACCCCACCTCTCCATCTGAGCCGTAAATTGCAAACAGCCATCAATTCTCTGCAGCTTCTCTTGTTACAAAGGTGAGCCTATTTTCCCGCTCTTAAATTTGGGCTGGATTTGTGACTCCTGTGACCAGCAGCTTGTGATGGAGGCGGGTAGCACCCATCAAGAAGAACTGTGAGCCCCCTCTTGCTGTGCTAAGACTACCATGTGCAAGAGACTGAGGCAGCCAGCCAACTGCCGACCACCTGCCAGACAGGTGCAGGATGCCATCTTCAATCACCCAGCAACAGGTGACCCACTGGGTGGCCCCCAGTGCACCAGAGAGGCCAGACCAGAACACGCACCCAGCCGACCCACAGACTAATGAATAATAATGAGACAGTTGCTGCTGTAAGCCACCAAATCTTGGCACACTTGTTATGCAGCAACCGCTGACTGATACACTCTGCTACACTTCCTCTGTATTCTAAATAAATGGTCCTTCCCACACCCTCTGCGGCCTGCTGTCGACTGGCTCAAAGTCACCTGCTCACCAGTACATAGCACACGGAAAACACAGAGAAGCCAAGGATATTATCAGAAGCCACATAGTGATGGTCTAAACCAGGGGTTGGCAAACTACAGCCCATAAGCTGAATCTGGCCCACTGACTATTTTGTAAATAAAGTTTTATTGGCGCACAGCCATGCTCATTCACTTACGTACCCCCTGCGGCTACTCTGGGGACCACCACAGCAGAGCTAAGTAGTTGAGACAAAGCCTAACATGTTTACCATGTGACCACGTATAGAAAAAGTTTGACAACCCCTAGTCAGGACTTAATTCCCTCAACACTATGACAATAGTTCTCAAAGTGTGGCCCCCAGACTAGCAGCATTTACTTCACTCTTTAGAAACGCAGTCCTTGGTCCTCAACCCACATCTACGGAATCAGAAATGCTGGGGGTGCAGGCCAGCAATCTCGTTTTAAGAAGCCGTCCAGGTGATTCCGATGCCCACTGCTTCAGGATAAGACACCACAGCGCAACCACCTTTGATTCCAGAAGTGGGGTGTGACTGTTGATTCCCCAGCCTAAAAAGCATTTTCTTTCATTCTCACCCCCCAGCCCCTTGGAAAGCCGTAATTCCCTTGCAGCCTTATTACCCTAATTTAATCTGCCCTCAGCAAGATTCAGGACTAGCTCAGAATCACCCAGCAAAACCTGCAGCCCCCGGGAGCCTGACCGAACAGAGGTGTCACGGGAGTGACTTGGTGGCTGAGGAGCCTGAAGTCGAACCTTCCCCGGAACCCTCTGGAATGAACGGACCATTTATAAAAGGCATACAAGAGGCTTGGAGTGCTTTCTTGGTACAAAATCAGTCAGAACAAACCCAAGCCTGCATATTTCAGTAACAAAGTCTGCATGAAGTAACCAACTTGTCTCGGTTTGTCTAGATTTTTCCCAGTTTTCACATGGAAAGAACCAAAGACCCGAGTCCAGTGGTCCCACAGGTCCAAAGGCAGTTCCAGCCAGTGTGGGGAAGCAGGTGCGGTTCCCACCAGCCTGGGGCCCTGGCATATCTGAGCCCCCCAGTGCGTGGGCGTCCTGCCAGATCCAGTACACCTC